ACATCCCAAATAGAGAGGGCTATGAAAGATTACAGAAGTATGTGCTTTATCCCACCATTTATGGTTACTCTGCCTGTGTTTAGATGGTGACACCTGCCTTATCCTGTTTCACTCCATTTTTTCCAGATGGTCAGTGAAGGGACATTGTATTGCTTCCACACTACTGGTTTGCTGCTTTAACATGTTCTGCCTCCTGTTGTTTAGCATAAGGTATAACGTAGTACCTTATACTAGCTTACAGTAGCCAGGGTAAATGTGACATACACTGCTGTCTTCTGCTGAAGAGCTTATGGATTATGTGTGCCTGTGTCAAATGGAACCTCTAACTGCTCTATTTACCGTCAGAACTGAGCTGATTTTAATACTTTATACTTTATTTTTAATGTTTTGACAGTGGACTGGTTTGGCTTTTTTAAATCACTAAAATTAGATATTTAGAACCTGAAAGAATTTTACTTTCAGACCTTTTTACAACATTGTTGTAGCCAAAAATGTGATTTTTACAAATGTATGCATTACATTTTGAGTGTCTGTAGTATCTCAATCGATAAATCTGGCCAAGTATTTATTAAGTAAGCATTTTGTTGTTTCATGTCTTTAACTGTCATCACTTGCTGTTAGGGATGAGCATACTTTTTTCCTAAATGTCCTTTTTGGTTTCAAAGTTCAGTTTAAACATGAATATTATTGCCCTGATTGGGGTTGGTGCTTGAAAGGAGAACCAAAACAGCGCCAGTGAAAAAAATATGCACAGAGAGTTCTGTTACACCTGAGGCTTCTAGTATCCCCACAGTAGTAGTGTGAGGGCATTCAAATAAGATTAAAAATTGGAGCAGAAAATTGGAAGAGTGGACAGAGCATGTGAAAAATGGAATAGAGAGGAAAAGAAATTCTAATGTGGAAAAATAAATACACTCTATAAAGGGCAGTCTAGCACTGAGACATTATTTTCTATCACTAGCTCTTATTGAAGATCTCCCATTAACTTAAAAAGAACATGTGGGTTTGATTTAAAAAAAAAATGAATAAAATAAGTTGAAATAACAGGAAGAAAAGGCTTACAAACTCCTATTTTGCAAACCTAATGAACAGTTCACAAAACTTTGAGTTCCATGACATTTGCTCATTTACAGTTACTCTGTTCCTAAGCAACAACTGTGTAGTTGTATTTTGGAGGTGGGTGAAGCTGCTTCTTATGTTTTATTAAATTATTTGGGAGCTCTTGAAATGAAAAGAGCTATATAAATGTGAGATGCTATTGTTTTTATTTAACTTATTACTTTGCTGAGTTTCAGAAAGGAAGTGGTGGCTTTGTTTTTGCTTTTAGGCCGAATCCAAATGTGAAATATGGCTCTGGTTTTTCAGGCGTGCCAAAAATTTGGCATTCAAAGTACTGTAAAACTGCCATAGTTTTACAGTGAAGTGGATTAGGACAATTGAAAAAAATTCAAATTGTCTGCAGTATATATTTTTTTCTTAGAAGCATTCCATTGTGGGACAGTGTGAAATGATGGCAATATAATTGGCTTTTAATACACTGAATAGGAATTTGAAATAATGGGGAATCAAGGATAAACTGGAAACAAAAGTAGTGGTACTCCTCCAAGTTATTGCTTACAACCCAACCTGAGGAACCAAAATGAGACACACCATTTAGTAGATAGCTTTCATTGTTTGACCATTCTTATTCCTTGCATACTCTGCATGCAGTGTCAGGAGGTTATCTTTAGGTATGTTCATTCTTGAATGCTTTGATTAGTACTATGATTGTTAACAATGCTCATGTTTAGGCTTCAGGTCTATTATTTTAGGGTGTCTGCAAATTCAGGGAGACATCAGTGTATCAGTGCACAGTTTATGGTTGTGAAGAGAATCTTCAAAGTGGGAGCAAATTTCTTTTTTAAAATCTGAAAGCTTAGATTTTTAGACCCCAGAGTACATGCTCCAAAACAGTAGCAGCTTACTGAGATGTGCTGCGCTAGCCCACTGCACCTTGTTGATTATATCCAGGTCCCTTTCAGATATGATACAGTTCACCAACAATATGAGTAGGATGAAGCTTACAAATAGCCTTGTTTGACACGCTACAGCATTACCTACAAATCCATACTTCAGCGCTTTTAGGAAAAAAAGTGAACATTTTGTTTTATTTTCCATGAACCATATTTGTTGTACTCGCTCTCTCCTCTTTATTTTTTATACTAATTTAAAAACCCATTTTTAACACAATAAACAGCTTGAAACCTGGAAATAAATATAATGCCAGTTTCTTAGACATCTCAATGCAGAAAAGAGAGAGATAAACCAATTGTACATTACTGACTACAAATAGTGCACAGTATATTACTTGGAAGTTATTCATTTACTTCTATTGAGAATATTATTTGAAAGCCAAGAGCATGTACCTGGTTAATAAGGCTGTTTACCATGTAACCTTTATGCTTTAAGGTGAAAGTATGAATCATTTATAAAATATTTAAAAATATTTCACAATAGTAAAGATCAGGGGTATGTTACCAGTGTTCAGACCAGAGTTGCACGGCACTGGAGAGAACTAAATAAAAAGGGTAAATAACATTTGTTGCAAGAGAATTTCTATGTATTTTTCTGTATTATCAATCTCTCATTATAAATTCACATAAGAATTTCAAATTGCAACTAGAAATAAGAGATACATTTTAAACTGTGAAGGTAAATAACCACTGGAAAGATTAACTGAGGGTGGTTGTAAATTCTCCATCACTGGCAATTTTTAAATCAAGATAGGATTTTTTTGGGGGTAAAAGATCTCTTTTAGGAATTAATTTAGAAGACATTTTGTGGCCTGTGTTATACAGGAATTCAGACTAGATGTCCATAGTGGTTCCTTCTAGTCTCGGAATTTACAAATCATTGAATGAAGCACATAGATTTGTGATTTTCTAAATAATCTCTTTTTTTGTTGTCCAGTTCATGTTGTTGTATATCTTTATAACTTCAAGGCTGTGTTTTGTTTTTAATAGATCATCTAGTACATTATATTATGCAACCTGTAGATTATTTATTCCTTTGGACTGAATGTAACAGTTATGAAAAGTGCCCGATTGTCAGACCTGTAAACAAAAGTCTTCTATCCACAGCACATGTGCAGCAGGGGCAACAATAGTGGATGCTTCTCCTCTCTATCCTACAAGTTTACTGCAACCTTAAAAGAGACCACTTCTAGGAAAGGGAGGATTCAGGCTTTGTCTACATTTGAAGGTTTAAAATGCAGCCATGGCAGCACTTTAATACAACTATGTAGTCACAGCAAGAGCTCTGGCTGAGAACTCTCTCAGCACTTTAGGTAAACTATCTCCAGGAAGGGAGTAGCTAACAGTGCCGGGAGTGCGGCTCCTAGCACTGAAGCTCTGTCTATACTGGTGCTTTACCGAGATGTAACTTGCTATGCTCAGGGTTGGTGTGTTTTTTCACACTCTGGAGCCAGAAAGTAGTGTCAATGTAGTCTTAGCCCTGGTCTCCATGCTTAGTAAAGCCTAGCTGAAACAAATGAAAGGACTATGCAGCACTTTAAAGACAAGATGGTGTATTAGGTGATGAGCTTTTGTGGGCCAGACCCACTTCCTCAGATCATATTCTGGAAGAGAATTGGTATGACCATATATAAAAGTGAACACATAAAACTGACAAATCAGATTTAGAACAGAAAGGGGCTGAGAGAGAGGGCTAATATCTATGAGATAATGATACTAGGGGTGATAATTGGGGAAGCTATCTTTTTATGGGTAAGGTAATTAGCATCTTTGTTAAGGCTCATTCGTAAAGTGTCACATTTAAGCATGAATGACGGTTCTGAGGTTTCCCTTTGGTTTTAGGATAGTCCTTTCTTTTGTTTCAGCAAGATCAGACTAACACGGTTACATCTCTATTACTACTAAAGCGTAGGTGTGTTTACTGTGATGACTGTAATTGGGTGGAGTTGTTCTGTGATGTGGACATATCTGTACTGCTATTAATCTTAGCAACTCACTTCACATGGGCAACCAGATGATAATGGCAGGTAACCAGAGCAGATGATCATTCTCTAAGCCTTTTTTATATCAGGCACAGGCATGCTGCCTTCCTAAACTTTGTCAGGGAGATCTCAGGGGCTGGTGCCAATCAGCAATGAGAAACATTGCTCTAAGCTACTACTTTATTTCAGACCTGTAGCATAGGGCCTAATCCGGTTTTACACCAGTGTAACTGCATTGAAGCTATTTCTGCTTTACATTAATATAAACAAGATCAGAATCAGAACCATGAGAGTTGAAAGGCCATATGTCTCACTAGCATACCCCCTGGCTACCCACACAATGTGCTTTTTATTGTATCATTTGTTTTTGTTATTTCCTTACTGACACACTGTCTTTCACCATATACCTACCTACTTACTTACTAATTTATTTATATTGCAATGTCATACAGAAGTCACATTCATATCAGTCTTTGTTGCCTCAAGTGCTTTAAAAACCTATAGTAAGAGACAAATTGCAATGTCTTCAGTAAAGGGATTAACTTACTACAAAAGAAAATGTTTGCATCCATGAGCTTCAGTGATGCTTGCTAATATATTTGTTGTACTGTGTCATGCAAAAGCATTTGCAAGGTGGCTAGATGCTCGAGAGCTCATGAAAAATCTATTCTGGCTTGAAGTTCATAATGTTCCAGGTCCGAGTGATTGGAGACATTATTGCATGTTATTAGTCAGTGTTTCCATTTTGTCATGTTTTCTAAATGGATGATAAAAATGATAACTTGTATATGTAGATATGAGTCAGACAGGAAAACCAGGTACCATCTTTAACAAAAAAAATATATATATATTCAGACCATCTGGCTTATCCAGCCCTAAACCCTCTTAGCATTCCCTGTTGCCTGATTTTCTAAATATTTTGGTGCACTAACAGAAATATTTAATTAATTATTGTTTTCACACAGAGTACGGTTCTTCAGTAACCTATTTGGTTTTTTCCCCCCAGGTTTTGTGGATTTAACACTCCATGATCAGGTACATCTACTAGAATGTGCCTGGTTAGAGATACTGATGATTGGCCTAGTTTGGCGTTCAATGGAACACCCAGGAAAACTCTTGTTTGCACCTAACCTATTATTGGACAGGTTAGTCAATTGTTGTTGTTATTGTTATTGTTATTATTATAATTATTATTATTATTATTATATTATTATTTAAATGAATGTATCTCTTGGAGTCATTTTAGCCTGCAGCCAATTCACCTGCTGCTGAGATTCCATCACATTTCATAAGCAGGATTGGCATAGGTAGTATGAAAAGCGTGACCTTTAGAGAAAGCCACTGAAAGCGCAGTTGGAAGTGGTTTTGGTGACTGCCCTTCAGTTGTGAGTTAGTATGGTGTTAGAAGGCCTTCTCCTGCTGCAGGAATTTTCTTTCAAAGGAGACAGACAGGTGAACACCCTCCACATCAGCTGCTAGAAGTGGGCCTCATCCTCACTGACAGAATTGACCTTGTTATCCCTAGCCTTACTCTTGATTGGAACTCTTTTCTTATGCCTGTATATTTATAACTGCCTCTGAAATTTCCACTACATGCATCTGACGAAATGGGTCTTTGCCCACGAAAACTTATGCTCCAATACATCTGTTAGTCTATAAGGTGCCACAGGACTTCTCATTGTTCTTGCAGATTCAGACTAACACGGCTACCCCTCTGATACTTTTCCACTGTAGAGGAAAAGCATGTGATAAACTCTGGTTGTGCCAAGCCATCCAAAAGCTGGCTTAATTGACCGCTTGATGACTCATCCAGTGTAGGAAAATACGTAGGTGCTACAGCTTGTACAGCATCTCCTATGTTATGTTCATCTTTACCCTAGTTGCAGAAGGCATATTAGAGAAGAGTAGATGTGACTGGCAGCTCCTTCAGCGTAGCCAAATCTGATTGTCAAATGAAACCTTGGAGACTATGGGCAGTGGCATAATTAAAGAGGCTCACTATATATTCTAATTTGTTCTGGTTGTTTAAAGTAGGCTCTGTCCTGCCCCCATCACACACCTTTACTCTCTTTTTCTGGATTCAACTTGGCTGGACTAGAAGGTCTGACCCAGAAATGCTAAAGAAAAAACGATCAGTGCCCTGTCAAATCCAGTATCCTGAAACTTAGTATATCTTTCTAAATACAGTACTTCCAAGGGAGATGGCAAAACAACTATCTAGTTGCACATATGGTTCTATGCAAGTGGAGAATTTCTTGTTGATTTCAACTGGCATTCATTTCATGCACTTAAGCATGAGAATTGACACCTCTTAAAAGTTTTCCTAGCTAATCTGCTGTAAATGCAAGTGCCGTCCTTATGTCCATGAAAACAATCATGTTTCAACACCAAAGGAATTTTTGAGAACGATACAAAGAGCTGAAAAAAGTGTTTTAGAAGAAAAACAGTCTCTCCAACTTATTATAGTCACCTCTACTAACATTAACAATATATATGTCATGTTGCGGTGAGCAGTTTAGATCAGTGAAATGTTGTGTCACTCCTTGCATTATAACCCTGTGTGCCCCAAAATGCTTCTGCTAGTTTTGGCTCCCTGCCTGGGTCACACACACAGCCAACAACCAACATGTGCTTCATGTTCTCTGTGTTGTACAACTCTGATTCAACTACTTTGAAAACAACAGCCTGCCAGCAGTTATCACAGACGAACTCTTGTCTTTACCCGACCTGCTTGATGTTAACAGATGACCCCAACACTTTCCTAGACCTGTGTACTCTGCAATGTCCAGACCTCTCCTGCAACATTCAGTGGAATTAAAAGATCTGTTTGCTTTTTTAAAGAGACAAAACCCAGAAGCTTGCTACATTGACTGGAGTTAACATTCACTTTTACTTAAATACAGTGCTGTTGGTTGAAATTAATAGTAGAACAAGTTGATTAACAAGAAAGGGAATTGTAAGTGACCAAGCATAAGAGATAAAGTTAGAAATTTAAAATGAAAACAAGCATCTAAAAGTCTTAATTTAGCAACATTAAGGCTTTGTTTAAGACATCTTGTTCACAATGGTTTTTCTCACCCAAAGTAAGATAATGGCTCATTTCGCCACCCAAGTCAGGATCTTTTCCAGAAGCCCAAAGTGCTGCTCCCTTAGTCTTTGTAGGTGAAAGAGATCACTTGGTATTTTCTGCTCCTTCCTTTTATAGTCAAGTGGATTGTTCTCAAGATTACCTCCGAAAATAAAGTTTATTCAGTCTATGAGGAAAGTGACATGAAAAGTCTGTCAGTGAAGGAAATTCCATACTGTTTCCCCTCTCCCTACTAGTGTTTGCAAAAATGCAAATTGTTGTTTTCTATAATCTCCTTTTCCTACTCTCTTGATAGTCCTGATTCCTGCTTATATGTAAATTGAGGTAACCCCACATTGTTTTGTTTAGAATAGACTGTTTACCAACTCCCCTTGATATGCCTGGTGTTTAAACGCACGTCAGTCATATACCATAACTCTTAATAAATATTGTATGCATGCATCATTCAACACTATCAATGGACTATATTTTTCAAATGATAATTCACAAGAAATATTTTGAAATGATTATTGTAATAGTGAGAAGGGTATGAATGTTTGGGTGCTGGATTTAGATCCACCAAAACTATATAAAGAAAACATTTACTATAGGTTGAAACTCTCAAAACCAGGACTGTTTGGTCTGGCAACATCCATGGTCCAGAAGGACTGTGGATGTTGCTGGACTAGACAGTCCTGGTAGAGGTCCAGAGGAAGGATCCCTGTGGGAGCCGGAAGCCTGCTGGGCTGGCTACCGGGGAGCCAGCAGGTGAGAGCCCTGCCATGGGAGTCTGGCTGAGCTGGTGGCAGGGTGGCCAGAGCACTGTCAGGCTCTGGTGGGGCAGCAGTCTGTCATGGCAGAGCAAGGAGCCCCAGTGGCAGGGCAGTGGTCTGCTGCAGTTGGGACAGGAGCCCAGTGGCGGAGCAGTGGTCGGCTGTGGCAGGGCTGGGAGCCCTGGCAGCGGGATTACAGGCTACTGCAGAAAGGCTGCTTGGGCCGGGACCTGGAGGTGGGGCCAGTGCTGCTGCAGAAGGGCTGGTGGGGCTGTGAGCCCTGGTGGCAGGATAGCAGTCTGCCGCATTGGGGCTGGGAGCCCCGGGAGCGGAGCAGTGATCTGCTGCAATGGAACTTGGAGGGCTTGTGGAGCTGCAGGCTACCGTGGCTGGGCTGGTGGGGTTGGAAGCCCAGCATCACAGCCGAGCAGCATGGATGGTGGCAGGGGGAGAGCCATCTGGGAGACTGGCAGTCAGGGCAGGAGCAGAGCTGGACTGGGGTACTAGTTGGCAGGGGTGCTAGAAAGGACCTCCCCTGATCCAGCAAAATCCCTCGTTCAAGACCAGTCAGGTCCGAATGGTGCTGGACCAGGAAGGTCCAACCTGTAATGTTTTTCTCAATAATTTCCTCTGTTAATAAATTTCACAGGATTATTCCATATTGCATAGTAAATTATTAACTTCATACTATTGTTGCATGCTTTTGGAGCATTCTTGCTCTGTAATTTTTGATACAAGGCAATTGGTGCAAACCAGACGATAAGTACAGCCTAGTCTGCAAGAAGCAAGATTTTGGTATTTGTAAATACCAAAGCAGCAGCTCAGTATAAATATTAATATGTGATAGTATAATAACTAATCTGAAATAGGACAGGAAAAGAGATTTATTGCCCCAGGAAAAGCCCAATTCTGCTTAAGTTTCTATGGAAGCACATAACCTTTCTGTGTGTGTACTTTGGCATTAGGAAATGTATAAAACCATTTCTCTGTACAGAGCAGGAATTTATCTGATCATTTAAACTTATATTTCCACCAGTACGGGACAAAAAACAAACAACAACAACAAAACAACCCCAACCCCAAGAGAAAAAAAATGCAATTTTAAAACAGTTTTAAGTCTTTTTACACTAGTAGTGTAATTTATTACTTCAGGAAAGAAAATATAGACTATTATTGGAAAATAGAACATAAATTACATCTCTGCCTTCCAAGGACCCATCTGTTCTGTTTGATATTTTTCTCAGAAGATTTCAAAGAAATATTTGCAAAATAGAGAGCAGCGCCACAGTACTTTTTACCCTTCTTTTATCTAATTGGGGGTGGGGAGAGGAAGGGGGAGGAACCAAAGAAAAGAGGAGAGGAGGTGGTCTACATTGGCAGGTAAAATGTTCTTCTCTGTCCTCTTTCTCTGGATGGGGATGTCTTTTACATGAGCCATTTTCCTGGCCACTCTTGTGTAGAAGGAATAGCAATAGATGTTATGAGTAAAGAATGCTGTTTGTACAATTGATCCCTGACTCTCAAATAAAAATATGTTTCTGCTGTTTCACTAATGAGGTGGGATCATTATTAGGGTTTAAATAAAAGGAAAGTTTGGTATAATAATTACAATTTTAAAGTAATAGCTGACACCTTTATAGAAACTCAGCTAATACTTATTGTAAAGTAGAAAAACAGATACCTTTTACAAAAAGTGATGACATGGTTCTTCTGAATGACACACAGTTTTTTGAACTTTATCTCATGACCAGGCTGGGCTAGACATAGGCGCTTTAAGCTGTTGAAAAGGGGAGATGATTAGCTCTCCACAGGATAAGGCAGATGTTGCTGGTCTGGATGGTGTCCAAGAAAATAGAATTTAAAGATGTCACTAGTTCAGGACTGAAATTTGTTAGACCTGATCTTGAGCTCCTTGTTATTTGTGACAAAAATTTAACATTGCAAAATAGAACCAGCCCAAGAAAAGTAAATACTGCCCTGGTACACGTCTAAGACACAATCTTTCCTCTTTCACCAAGTCTGTGAATAACAAAAGAAAACTTTTGTTAAGGGAGGAGGGAACACAGCATCAATTAGGGATAACACAGTAACAAAAAAATATGCAAGCAGTACATAAACACCTACGCCACAGTATCTTGGGTGGAAATCATTTGCCTCAACTATGGCTTAAGTACATTTCTGCTGCTCTTTAACATACAATAAAGGTAATTTTTTCATTATCCCCACAACTAAGAATGAATTAATTTCAACCCAAATGAATTTTAACCCCAAACTGCCACAGTTTGACAAACGTTCTTCTGTGTAC